AACACTGAAGTCAATGAATATCAATCTCTGACAATTAGTCCTTCAATTTAGGTTGAACAATAAACTCAACATTTAATTAACATTTTCCCAATGTCTTTGCATTGTTTTCTTGTTTTGCTTTCAGTTGTTTCCCATTCAAACTCACAAAACAAAACAAGAAAAAACAAGAAAAATATTTACCTTCGTAGTTGACGTTGCGCCAGTACTGCCCTCTATGAGCAACGAAAAACTCTAATGTTGTTGTTCAAGTTTAGAGGAAAAGAAAAGTTTGAAAAGTTGAAAACAATTTATTATCATTTTTAATGAAATGATTATTTAATTGATTGGAAGAAGAAGATGAAAAATGTTCAATTTATTAATGATTTGCGCAAAATTGAATCAAGTCACTGATTGTTTAAACAAGTTTACATCAACTATTAAAATAGTTGCATCTAATTAATGATAATAATTACTGTGACAAGTTGGCAGATTAAGGAAAAGACACAAAAACTAGGATTAAGTGTCTGGTTAAATAAACTTGTCAACAAGTTTACTCAGCTCAAGAATAGTTGAGCCTCAACAACATTTCAAATCATTTCACAATATATCAACGGAAATGTTTTAAAAATAATTATTCCTTAATCATCGAAATTACTATTAAAGAATCAATTTTTCCATTCGCTCAAAACTGGAAACTTCTGCAGAGACGAAAAAATTGCGCCAAACTTCACTTCGAATCGAGTAAAGATGAAGAAATAAAAAAGTCAAAAACCAAAAACTGGACTAGAAGAGTTTAATGAATGGAAGAAGACAAGAGAAGAGAAAAAAGAAGCCCTGAAAAAAAAGAAAAGAACATTGCCTTTTCAAAGTTCTCATCATTTTTCTTCACGCTTTTAGCTTACTCAACCAGAATCTCCATTGAAAGCCTAATAGATATAAGCTAATGTCAAAAGATTCAAAGGAAATGATGATGATGATGGCGAAAGTTGTATCTTATTTTTGTAAGACAATCTTGTTTAGGTAAAGTTGATTTTGTTAATTTTTGTTTCACTGTTGAACCTTTTTTCACGAACATTTTTTTTTCAGGGGAAAGAATATTTTGACAATTAATTGCGACTATTTTGAGGACAAACTTGTAAACTATCGTAAAGAGAAGAGAAACAAAGAGAGAGATGATTATCATCATTATCATCTTTGCAATATCTTTCACCAAGCTTGCCTAATTATCGTTTTGAATAACTAAAATTAGCTTAACATAGAAACAATTTTTTCTTCTCTTCTCTCTCTATCAACATTATTACTTTATTATAACGTGTTTTTGCTTTCGCTTTTTACTCATCTTTCTCACTCTGTCTACTCTTCTCATCGTTTTTATCATCTTCTCTTCCATATAGACTCAGACTCACCATTCAATATTCAATCTTGTCTGGGTACAACAAGATGATGAGAATGATGTTGAAGAAAAGTTTGTTTGAAAATTGTCTGTGAGTTCCTTTTTTTCATCTTCCAACATTTTTCTTTTACTTTTTCTTCTTCTTCTTCTCTTTCCCTCTCTTTTTGCTTCTTTTACTCAACACTATTACAACAAGGATCAACAGCAAGCAGAAAACATGATCATCATTATCATCATCATCAACACAGCCAATAACTAGCTTTTACTTGTCTTCTTCATCATCATCTAAGCTTATCGATTTTTGCTTCTCCTTCAACTTCTCAGAATCAACTCAATATTATATTCATAGTTACACAAATATGCTTCTTCTTGTACAAAAAGGTCGCTTAACTTGGTAGCTTCTTTCTTGTCTTCAATCCTCAGATTACTTGTAAACCTAAACCAAAGATGATAGTGATGATGATAATTAAAATCAAGGTGAAGATGTTAAAGAGTTTAAGTAGGAGTGAAGAGAAGATAGAGAAAAAGAGAGAAAAAGATGGAACCATAAACTTCAATTTTTTAGACCAATCAATGAACTAAGTCTTTACTATCAACTCATCTTTTCATCTTCATCATTATCATCCTCATAATCACCTTTTGTTGATTCGCTTGTTTTTCGGTCAAAACATAAATCGGACAAACAAGCCTGAAACAAAGCTAAACCCAGATCAGGCCAATAACAGTGAAACGAGTACAACTTTGAAACGCATCAACATCACACACAATCATTAAGATAGAATGGAAAGAGAGAGAAAAAGAGAGTTTTGATGATAAGAAGAAGAAGAAGATAAATGAAGGGGAGAAACTGGTGGTTTGTAGACAGATCATGTTGAAAGAGCATTTTGTGTGTAGACAGAGGATGATGATAGAGGTAAGTGAACCGTTGAGGTCACCTTTTTGAGACACTTTTTCAAAGCAAACAGCACGAAACTAGAAAGCACAACAAGAAGATGAAAAGGAGGAGAAGAAGAAAAAAAAAGAGTTTTGACTCCTCATTTTATCAACTCACCCTTCACACCCCGGTTCAGGTTGAGGTCATCACGACGGGTCACCTGAATTAACCTTAAATGATCATCATTCAGTTCAATAATGAAAGCTAATTTTCATCACTTGAAACAAAATGGAAATTTCAATTTTCCAAAATCTAGCAAATTTGTTCCCTCAAACAATAATGTAAATTAAAAAAAACTTAACATTGAAACTCAAGAAGCAAATATTTGCATCCTTCATCATCATGAAAGACACAAAACAAAAGTTTGACAACTTCAAAATTAGCAACTTTCAATTGGGTTAAAGGATAAAAAGTTTTGAGCTTTAAATAATACAATTGACAGTTTACTTGTTACAGTTAATAAATTGTTCAACTTGTTTAAACAATCATAATTAACCATATTATTGGCTTTCCAGCCTTTTCGCCTCGTTTCATCAGTTGCCTTGTTTAATTGTTGATGGATTAGATTGTCATTGTTATTTATATCAATTAACAAACTTGATAAATTGCAATTGTAAACGTTAACGACGGAAACATTCAACTAACAATTTTTAGCAATGATAGCGAAATGGAAGCGCAAGTTGTCGAAAAAAAGGTTAACATTTCGAATCTGATTTTTGGTTAAAAAATGGTTCAAAATGCATCAACAGGTAAATACAGAAGTAAAAGTTTCTTTTTTTTCTCTCCAAAAGATTTCCATACAACTTTTTCTCGTTATTTTTACCTTTTCTTTTTGAACAAACAAAACCTGTTTAATTGATAAAGTTGAGGTTGACAAGTTTCAATGATCATAATTATAGTGTAATGCAATTATAATTGTAAACAGCAATTGATAAGGCGTAATGGGTGAAACTTTGATGACCAGAGAAGAAGAGAAAAAATTAGCTGGTAAAATTGATGATTATGAGAGTTTTTTGTGTTCCTTTTTCTTATGCCTGTGATCGACCAACCGAAGAACCTAAGGAAGATTCAAACAATTTTGGGCTGAACCTGGTTAGGGTCAAACATTCCGTAACGGAAAAGATTGTCTGCCCTTTTGGACTTTTCATTTTCTCTTTGCTTTCCCTTTTTCATTATCATTTTAATTTGAAATATTTTTTTCTTTCCATTTTTTCCAAGTTATCAGCTTTTGGTGATAACTTGTTGAAGATGGTTCACCCTGAATACCATGACAATCAAGGCTGGTAAAGCCTATTAACGGTTCGAGTGAAACATGGAAACTCTAACCCAATATCAAGTAACTCAGCTAATAATAATATTTGACTGTCTAATTGGGCCTGATGACTAAATATGAGAGAGAAAAGAGAATGAGAAGAAGAAGAAGAAGAAGAAGAAGAAGAAGAAAAAAGTTCGAACCTCTTTATCTTCCTCCTTCTCCTTCACCTTCATTAGCCTAAAAGATGAAGATATTGGCATACAGTCGAAGGCAATGACAAAATATTGTTTCTCATAAAAAAAGCTTTCATCTTCATCTTTTTTCTTCCCTTTCATTTCACGCCAAACAATAAGCTATCACTTTTTGTTTCGCATTTCTGCTTTTCTCTCTTTCGCCATCCAGTTCTAGGAATGATGAAAGCTGAAAAGTCCTGTTCTTCCCTCAGTCCCATTTGCTCTTCTCTCTCTCTGTACCTTTCCCTGTCCATTATGCCTTTTATCGCTCACTTTTCGTCTTCTTCTTTTCGCTGTTTTACTCTTCATCAGTCCACCTCGTAACGCCTACAATGGTCTCTCATCTACCCTCATCTTAATCCCTCACCCTGACTGTTACTCACTCACTAGGCACGAGGCTTCTCTTAGCGCGTGTAGACCACATAATGATTGAAAATAAGTTTCTCGCTCTCTTCCATTGTTATCCATATTTTTGTCAACTTCATTTCCCAATAAAACATAAACTAGATGAACATTATCAAAAGCGACCTTCCCTTGTTAATATACAAACTCATCTCTGTCACTCTTTTCATCCTTCAATCCTCAAGCGACCAACTTTTTGCTCCCCTTTTTATCATCGCCATCATCTTTAACCATCATCTTTTACCATCTTTGTCAGTTATTAAACATTTTACTTTCAAACGCAACATTTGATTCCGTTGAGTTGTTAATGTTTGAAAATGTTGTTACTTTCAAAGGCCTTTAACTAACCAACAAACCCTAATTGGTGTTGACAAATTTTCAATTCATGAGCAACAATCGGTTAACACACGAGTTTAATCAAAAGTCAATTCATTAATTAACAATATTAACTCACAATTGTCACAATGAAAAGGCTAAAATTGAAAGCTCAACTTTACAATTTTTTCCAAAATTTATTCTCAACAATTGAATTTCATTGTTCAACTGATGCAATAAAAAAGGTTAATTTCAAGTGTCCAGTTGACGATTGGTTGAACATTAATTGAAATATTAATTGTTGTTGCGTTAACATTATTGAAATGTTGAGTTTAATCAGTTTACTGTAATCAAGTATAACAAACCATAAGTTAGTGGACCAAACTTTGATTAAGTTAAACCGGTTTGAGTTGTTTTTTTGTGTGCTTCAGATTAAGCTAATCACAATCAACCGTTATTATGATAAAAAAAAGATGGAGACTGATTATGTTCATTATTATAAAGCTTTCTCAAGGTAAATCATGTTTCCTATTTATTGTCTTATTATCAACAAGTTAAAATGATGTTGAAGTAAAAGAGGAACGAAGAAAAAAAAGTTAAGATCATCTCAACATCAATTCTGATCTCTTTTTTTCCCTCTCTTTTTCAACTTTTGGCTTCCTTTTTTGTTGAGAAGAAAAAAAATTTCTTGTTCATCTTCATATTCACGGAAGTATCATTAGAAATACATAATAATGATAATAGTGTTTTAGTCCAACAAGCTTGCGCTTCTCAAGATTTAATTTTTACCAGAAGACACTCGGAGTTGACCTTTGTTACTGCTGCTGTTGTCGGTAATGTTAATGATAATTTTGTTGATGTTACTGTTTGTTAAATATAACAACAACATTGAAAACCTATTAACAAACCAAGGTCAAGATGAAAGGATAGGATTCAGTTAATGGTCACAATTTTGTGTCATAATTTTCAAACTGCTATTTTGGGGGGGTTTTTGCGCTTCGGTGTTGCTTTTCAAGTTGTCCTTTTGCTTGTTTCATCTCTTGGCTTTTCCAGGCTTGTAATAATTATGGCTTTGACCCTACTTTTTGGTTTGATTCACTGTAAATTGTTGCTTCCTTGGGTTAGTTGATTTAAGCTAATATACATCACATATATTTACACAGGAACTTGGTTTTGGGTTCACCCTGTAGTTGTTTTTACCAAAGAGGCGTTTGTTTTGACTAAAGTGCGAAACAGAAAAGACAGAGAATTGACTGGGAGTGGAAAGAGGTACAAAGTGAGAAACAGAGAAAGAGGGAGAAGAGGAAAGATGACAGGAAAGAGACAGAGTAAGTTGATACAGAAGTGGAAGCTGTGAGGCGAAAGAGGAAAAGAAAGAGAAGTTTAAAGACAGGAGAAGCTGATAGACCGTGGAAAGAGTGGAGACAGAGGAGACACAAAGAGAGGCCATCGAGTGTCGACTAGGAGAAAGTAACCCAAAGTTGACGTGCGAATACAATTTTCCACCGGATTAGGTCAATTTATCTGGTGATTAGCCTTTAATTTTGTCTTTTCCATTCAATTGTTCAAATTAAATTACCAATACTTTGGTTTTTTGGTCCTATTAGGTTTGATTAGTTATCATCACTACAACGGATCAATAAGTATCTATTGAAGAAAAATGAGAAGAAAAAACAAAACATTAGTCAAAATTTTTATGATGATTAAGTCTACCAAATGAACAACATGTAACAATAGATTTCTCTCAATTGATTAACTGTCTGCTAATTGCTATGATAATCAATAAACAAATTATCTATACCAATAAAGATTTTCACATTTTCTCTTCTTTTTCTTGCTTCTTTTTTTTTCTCATCGTCATTTATTCCTATTCACAAATTACTTACTCTCGCTCACTATTTTAACCCTGGTTACAGTTATTAATAGATTAATTTGAGGAACATTTTTCTTGGACAATTTCCCAATTGACCTAACACAAGTTTTTGTTTATAAAATTTATTAACCTAAACATGCACACATAATAAAAATACTAATACTTATATTTAAACATATGTACATATCAACTAAACAAATATAACTTTTTTTGGCTCATCCTTTTTTTGGTTAACAAGTTGAACAAACCTCAATTGAGCAGCAATGAAACCAATTATTTGCTAATAATTTCAGCTCGTCATTATCAAATTGTCACGGCACAACTTGTTTTCTGGTAATTCAATGACCAATCCAAAAGAAATGACATATTTTAAGCCTTAGTTTTGGATGCTTTTCTGGGCTGATCATAAGACGTTCATCTCTAAATTTCCATGTTTCAATTGAGAAATTTTTCTTGATTTTATGGTTGAAGCACAAGCAGCTATAATCTGGATGAAATAATCCTTTCTTTCGTTTGCTTTGCATCTGGTAACTTGGATATGCAAGTTGAGTTGCCTAATTGAGCCCTCTCGGTTGAAGATGAATTTGGATTAGTCAATGTTTAGACATTTTAATCAGCCCATGGTGAAGCGAATTGATTTGTGTATTTTAATTTTCAAATGCCACATTGAATTTATTTTCGGAATATTTTACGATTGATATCATCTATTGATCAATGAACATCTCTATACCTTCAAGGTAGCATGTTGATTAGCCTGAATCAATAGTGAAAGATGAAAAGCTGGATAAACAGATGATAAATTCAGTAGATTTAAGTCTTTGGTGAGTTTCCATTGTCAATTTCACGCAAAATTGACTTTCTACCCTCCTTAAATTTAATTTCAAATCGAATGGCGTACTTTAGTTTTGGCTTTTCTGAAAAAAAAGATGAATAGGAAAATTAAAATTGATATAAAGTCTGAAAAAACCAACAATGATTCAAAACGTACTTTACCTTAAATTATTCAATAGAGTAAACTTCTTGTAATGAAACCATTAAATTCCCAAACATCCAATGTTTCAAAAAGTCTGATCTAGAATAGCATGAAAATTTAAAATCTAAAAATAATTAAGATTCAAGGATATTCACTGTTGCTTAATCACTAATAATAGTTAGAATTGAAATTATACAAACCATTTTGTGCAGAGTAAAAACGTTAAACGCAACCATTTTAAACAAAACAACCCAAATTGAATACACAATTGATTAGTAATAAACTCGACAATAATTAAGATTAGACAATCATAAATTTAATACAATTAAATCATTTAAAGAGTTGAAAAATATAAATTAAGTTGATTGATACAATTGAAAATAAATTGTTTTTGGTAAGCAGTTTGAATCAGCTGAATGATGCTCCTTTTGCCATCTACCGATGTAACAGTGATACACCAATAGTGCGGTAAAATTGAATCAGCCTTATTTTGATTGTTGCTCAACAATTGTGATAATCATGAAGATGAAGATAAAGATGAGATAATCAATGAACAATAAATGTTGAATCAACAATTTAATTGTTTCCCGTTTAATGAAGTCTTTGTTGGATTGCTTTCTTTTCTCATTAAATAAGCTTCTGGAAGTACAATTGGAGTCGATCCTTTAACACCTTTATTCCTATTCATTTGATATGCAGGTAAAATTTCAGTAACAATTTTATCGGCATTGAGTTTATCCTTAAGCCGTTGACCAGGATCAGCTGGAAGGGCAAAAGTTGCTATGAAATCTGTTGAAAAGGAAGAAAAGAAAATTAATTTGCAAACATTTCTCAATTCAAAACAAGATTGACTAATGAATTATGAGGAAAAATCATTTCTTGATCAGATAGAGTAAACATTTCATGTGTTCATCTCATGGAATGAATGACGTCTTTGAAAGTATTAAAATATAATCACAATCAATTGATGAACCAATAAAAAAGGAAATGAAACGAAAGTAATGAAAAGTCTAAAACCAATTAATGAAACCAACAAGTCCAATTGAAATTTTCATGATTTCCGATTAAGTTTCTGAGCAATTGGGGACAAACTGTTCAATATGATTTAGACTGATATTTTGCATTTGTAATTACCTAAGAATGAGCAAAAGCTAATGGCATAAATCATTCCAGTCCAGCCAAGAGATTCGGTTAAATATTGTGATCCCAAGGCTCCACCAACATCGGCAATAACCTGTAAGTTGTGATTGAAAGCAAATTATTAAATTGATTGTTTACTTGGATATTCACACTGATTTAATCTATTTACTGATTGTGAATAAGTGAGAAAAGTTGTAAAAATTTCCTTCACTTTCATTGCAGGTGAATTATGTTGATGGTTTTATGAAAATTAAAGATCAATAAACAAAAATATCTCGATCTTTGATCAATCACAGTTTACTGTAGCTTAAATGAAGATACAAAGTGAAATAAAATTTATATTATTCAGCGTTAATATAAAATATAATAAATTTTGAGTAAAAAGACTCTGTCGTATCAACTGCTCAGTTGAAAAAGAGATTGCGCTACTGCATCTGGACTAAAACTAGTCTTGATCATTATTTTGATTACGAATTGGCCAGATTTTAATAGTTTCTAATTTTGATATAACTACAATATCATGCACGAATTATTTGTATTAGAAAAAAATATAATAAAACAGAGTTTGGACATGAAGCTAGGAATTTTTTCCAATGTTTCGGATGCACCGAGACTTTTTTGGTCTTTTTGGATGCTTATTCTCTCTAATGATAGCCAAGAATGCAAATCAATCTGATGCATGAGAAATGAGAAGATGTAGAATGAGCAAACTTTCATGACTTCTCCCATTCCTAGGCAAATGCCAGGAATAAACAGTTCTCTAATCTTTTTCAGTGCTCTCGTCGCTGTCTTTGGTTTGGCCTCAGCACAAGTCGAGTGTTTTGTTGATAAAGCTAAAGAGGCAGGTAAACCTAAACACCCTAAATATTTGTTTGTCAATGAAATTGAAATTTAGATTGAAATATATCAATGCAGGTCACTGTTCTCAATATACAAAATAATTTGCGAAAATGTACAAATTTTCTAGAAAAGTCGAAATTGTTAACTGAAATATCTTTGAATGCAGCTTCAAATTTTCAGCGGTCTGGATAAATTTCAACTTCGACTCAATTATTAATAAGTTGAGATATTAAGTTTTTTTTAACTTTTCGGTATAAATTTAACACTCCTAGTCATGATTTGTAGAAACAATAACTAAAAGTTTCCTTCAAAGGCTTCCATGCAATCAGTGGTCATCATGAATCCCAATTTTTGCGTTTTTTTTTGTAATCGATGGCCCAACTCAATATTTTGTTGAGAGATTCAGATACATCTTTATTACAATATGTATCCCTTTCCATCAAAAGACTTTTCATGCTTTTAAAGTTATCGGTAAACTTACAGTTGACATGTAAACAAGTCCAATATTCATGCTTGCATATTTTTCCCCAAAAGTATCTGTAACGGCCGATGGCATAAGAGCATATTGAGAGCCAATGATACCAACAGCAGCAACTACTGTGATTGAATAGACAAGTGGATGAGCCATTGAGCTAAACGGTAAACTGGCAATCAAAACGGTCGACATTGCACTTAATGGTATACAGCAAGCCTGTTTTATCAATCAATTCAGATGAAAGAGTAACATGTTTGATTAAATGGTTGAAAAGAAGAAGAAAAGTTGATTGATTGTAAAATGACTCTTTACCTTGTAGCTGAGTATATCTTTAATGTAGCCCATCAATAGACGGCAAAAGCAGTTTGATAGACCAGCACAAGCTCCAATGGCTGAAAGCATAAGGTCATTTTTGATAAAAGTTTGACCAAATGGCTAATCAAATTGATCGAAAAAAAAGAAAAGCAAATTAAAAGTTGACCTTCATTCAATGGACAAGTTTACATTGAAAAGTTTTAATCGAGTCAAGAGGGAAATTAAATGCCCAGAAAAATAAGTGTAACAAAAATGTTCGTCTTTTGATTATTTTCGAGTCCAATCATGATTGGAAATTTGAACGATCAATTCTTTAGTGGCAACCTTGAGTGTTGTTCAACTATTTATAAACTTTAATTGTTAAGGGTTACCTTGGATGTGATTATCACAATTGGATAATTATTGGAATATTAATCTTAAGAAGTTTATTTTTAGCAAATTAATCGACTATTGAAATTGGACTTTGAGAAGGAAATTTCAACGAGTTTTGTTCGCAAGTTGAAAAGTGTTGCTTTAATTGTTGTGTATGGAATGCTATGATAAAAATAGATTGGCTGTACTTTTGATTGTCAAATGAAAAGGGTTGAAGTCGGTAATGAGTCTCACCTTGTAAACAAAGAGGAGGTAAAAAAATACTAGTTCAGTGAGCATAATTTTGATGGATAAAATTATAAATTCAAAAGTCTTGATCGCTTGGGACGGAGTAAGGCCATCTGCGAATCTCAATTTAACCACTTTTCCAGTCTCACCATTGCCAGAGGCTTTCTGTTGTTTCTGATTTTATAACAAGTAAAGAAACCATTTTTAAAATTACTTTGCTTTCATGTAATGCGATCATTATGAATTATTAAGCAAAACTTTACCTTAACTGAATCCAAGTCTTCAGCTGATGGAGCAGGGAAAAGTAAGGCTGTGCCAATTGAAAATAAAAACAACGTAACCAAACCTTGAACAATTAGAGAATCTTTGGTTCGCTCTAAAACAAGCGTATCGGTAAAGTACCTGTAGAAGGTTATAAATGAATGATGATTATAATACTAATCAATATGGAATAGTTGACCGAGAAAACTTTTCTTTACACAAATTTGGTTCGATCAAGACAAAAAGTCCAAAACCTTATGAGATATAAATTGATCTAATCTTTTATCAATGTTTAATGTCGATTTGCAATTTTCCGAACTTTCACCAAAATTCTTGTCGCTCAAAATTAAAGTTTTCTCGTGTAAGCAAAACTTTGAAATAAGCGAGCGTAATAGTTTGATGGTTTCAAGAAAATCGTCAAAATTTGATACAAAATTTACTTTCTGTTTCTATTTTTCTCATCGATTTAAATTCAAACATTGAAACGTTCCGATTGAAAACAATCGTTGATTTCGATCTAATTTTTGCTGGTTAAAGTTGACTGAAAACTTTACTTACCCTTTCATATCTGCCGGTATATTTAATGGGTTTACATAGGCTGTGATCAAAGGCGTCCAAGCGGTTGGTGCAAAGGCCATCGATGCACAGGCGATTCCCGTTACAAGACCCTTCTTTTCGGGAAACCACTTTAAATGTAAAGTGAAAATAAAGTTAAAATTGTTTCTCAAACTCTTTTCATCTCAACTTTACCTTGTTAATCTCAACCAAAGGAGCTGTATAAGCAACTCCACAACTCAACAGGAAACTTCCACCATAACATATTAACACCAGAATAAAACTGTGATTCAGAGCAAAATAAGTTGCGAAAATTCCAGCACTGAAATGAATAAGAAAAAAGCGATTATCGATAAAAAAACGAACACTCAATTTCGTCAATAACTTTTACTAACAATCTGGTCGAATTGACTATCTATTGTCACAGTAGATGTCACTAAATGTCAGGGAAAAAAGGTTTTACTTTACACTTTTGTCCAACAGTTTTGCTGCCTTCGATAGTTTTGACCTTTAATTGTCGATACAATTTTGGCATATTTAGATTAATCAAGGTCAAGTTATGGTAAGTATCGAGATTAACCTTGAAACCTAAAAGTTTATCTTTTCACTTTACAATTGTCCATTAAATAGGAAATGAAATTAGCTTGCAACTTATAATCAAGATTGACAACCATGAGACTGTGATTCAATCACTTTCATGTAATTCAATTGATTATTTCATTTTGAAAATGTTTTATCAATCAAAAAATGGAAACAAAAAAAGTCGAACTAAAAGGTTGAACAAAAATCTGAAAACTCGAAATGCAATGTAAACAAGCAATTAACAGATGGTTCCAATTTGCTTTAATTAGCTAATCATCATTTTCAGCGAACAAAATTTTCTCTATTTTCCTCGAATCTAAAGCTTTTTCAAACGAAACTCATTATCATTAATCGATCGGTAATTTGCTTTAGACCCTGATATTTGTTGATTATTGATGTTGAACTGATTAAAGATGAAGATGAACCCTAATTAAGTATCGATCGAATCTTCAATCTGTTTTGAAATCGTTTGACTTTACTTTTGATTTTATTTGATCAAAACTTTTGTAAAAAAAATATTGATTGAAAAAATATTTCAATGGTCAAGTTGATGGTCAATAGAAGAAAAAAATCTTTCACTTTCATTAGCTTAAATTAACTTTGTTTAACCTTAGTTGAAACCTTGTAAATCAAGTAAATTGTTGTAATATTAGAAGGTAATGTTATTAGCTCCTATTAACCTGTAGATCAATGCCTCGATTTTTGTGGCCTTTTTATTTATTATCATTAGACTGTACTGTATATCGATTGGATTCATTTTTATCCTAACTAAGAGAAGAGTGAAAATAAATAAATAAAACTGATTGATGATGTTAAGGTAAACTGACTTATCTAGTCAATTATATGAATACAAAAATGGTAAATATTGAGGCTATAAATTGAGTTTTACTGGTCAAGAGAAGAAGCTAGTAAAGATGAGTCTGATAATGATGGGAATGAGGGAAATGATGAAGATGGTCAAGATGATGATGGTTTTGATAGGAAAGAGTAGAAATGATAATGTTTATGGGTTGGTCAAGTTTCATTCAAATGAATACTAATGGTTGAATAAATGATTACCGGCGGCTAATTTAGTCAACAATTTTTCAATTCTACTTGATTGACCTTAAGTTATGTGAAAAGACAAAAAAAGTGAAGGTTAATTTATACTCTGTTATGCAGTTGGCCTAATTTGGTTTCAATGTTCACTTCAATTGTTGATGACTGAAGAAGCTTACCTTTGCAGTAAACCACCGATAATGCAAACTGCTCTCGACCCAATCTTGGAGTCTAACCAGCCTCCAAAGGGAAGTAGCAAGGCTGACAGGCCGACTGCATAGAGAAACCAAACCGAGTCGGAGAGGGTTGCGGTTGAGGTTGACTTGGCACGAAGGTATGAAGTTAGATAGATGGCTGTATTGCCCGAGCTGAAGTAAAGTCCGATTGAAAAGTAAATGATTGCAGTTCCAATGACTGCGAGGATTCCCTTCATTTCAGCCATTGGTTTTGAACGATTATATCAGAGACGAAGAAACAAGTGATGAGATTGTAACAATGAAAAACTTGGAATGACCCAACAATTGTTGCAGTTGACCAACAATAATGATGATATTTAAAGATAATGAGATTGGATAGAAAAGATTCAACTCGAAAATGCAGCAATTGAGGTGCAGAATTTTCTCATTTCATTCTTCTTCTTTTTCTTTCGTTGATTCCTAGTTTTGGGTGGTAAAATTGGTTGCTTCTCTAACTCTTTGTCGATGATAGTAATGATGTTGGAAAAGACGAGAAGAGAAACTGAAATTAGTTTGAAAAGGTTGCAATCAAATCAATCACGATTAGTGCAAGACTTTAAAGTAACGGTTAAAGTGAAAAAAAACAACAAAAAAAATTAAGAGCCTTTCAATTTGACACTGATGATGATAATGATGATGAAGGATTAAAAACAAAAGTTAAATAAAGTCATAAGTGTGAGTTGAAGCAAATTAATCGTGTTATAAATTGTTGATAAACCATTGAGAAAATAAATGAAACGAGGAAAAACCGTAAACGTTGAATTGTGTGGCAAAAAAAGTGCACTTGAACAAAACTTGTAAACTTATTGAATGGAGAGTAAAAAACAGTGATTGACTGATGGATAAGTGAATGTGTAAAGTTTCATTTCAACATTGATGGTGATTGCAATGGGAAATCAATTTTTGTCACTCAACTTTGTGGGTTCATGAGGAGGCGATTGAGAAAAACTTTATCTATTGTTAGCACACATGGGATCAATGAAAGCCTTTGGGACATTTATTTATATGTGTGTTCATGTGCACGTTAAAGGGTGGATAATAATGTGTTAGCATTCCAATAGTTGGGTGTTACAATTTTATTAATAGCATTTGAGAGATATTTTTATATTGTTAGATCGAGTTAAGTGGTAAAAGTGTTTTGAAAAGTTTTACAAAAAGTTGAAATTGTATGAGAAAGAAGAAGAAGAAAAATTAAATTTCAAATGAATTGGAAATCAGCCTTTTAGCCATATAATAATGATGATTATCATGATGATGATGATAATTGGTGATAGTTATGATAATAAGAGAATAATATTTAGGAGGAGATTTTGGAATCAAGGAGAAGGAAGAGATTCAATGTTCAGTGAGGAAGTTGATTATTTCAACCTTTTCCTTACTTTATCGTTTCAATTTAATCATTATTAGGTCAAGATTAACGACGTTGCATCGTTTAGACTTGAAAGTCAATATCATTTTGTAACGATGTCTAACGTTTCTTATCTAAGCGTTATCGAGTGAATCATTAAACCTGATGATTTTTATTCAATTAAAAACTTTGAAATTAAATAAAAACATCACATTTTCCGTTTGAAAGCGATACAATAATCCTCGGTTATTGCAGGTTTTTCGCACGTACACCAGCCAGCTGCGACAGCTTTTAAACCGTCGTCTACTTCTTGCTACCTAGGTGTTTTACCGACCTAAAGGCGCTAGACTTTATTCAGCTTAGCTGGGGATTCAGCAGGAAGGGAGGATAGGATAGTCCAGGGGGCTTAGTCCTGAGTGAGCATTTACTGTACATAGCTTGCGAGATTCTAACGCTGCCCCAAGATGCACACAACATATGAAAGTTAGCAGTCTTATCAAAACCTCTAACCACCAGGCTAGAGGTTTTGCAAGGTTACTGCATGACTTGGTTAGGTATATTCCTAATTCATGGTTTCGCCAATTGTTTAAGCGAAAAAACATTTTAAACACAAAAATATTACGCTATCGACATTTTTTGCGAATAAAGTTGTAACTTTGATTGAAAAACCTGAAAAATGAAAGTGAATATTCTCATTCATAGCACAAGTCTAGGTATGATGATTAAAAGGTTTGTAAACGTTTTAAAATGAGAAACATGTGAAGAACCAAAGAGCTAGACTATTTAGTTTAGCGTTTTCCATTAACTCAAACAAACAACGACGTTTAGCCAGGTTAACTGTACACTCCGCATTTGGACTAAAAATATCTTGAATGTTGAAAACCAATGAACATGAAGTAAACTTTAAAACGATTCTTCCTGGTTGGTATCATGCTCGTTATTACACATACATGTGAAGTATACCATAAAGCAGTTGCTGTTGTTGTTCCTGAGAGATGGAATATAAAAATTAAATTCATTAGTTCTTGGAAAATAGAAAAATCTCTTGAAAATCTTACCTTCGTTCAATTTTATCCTCCTTTAACTGAATAACTCTTATCCTTAGCCGCTTCATCTCACTGGTGTTGTTTAACCTAGTACTAAACTACTAAGTGTCGAATGCTTCACCGGTTGCATCTGATATGGATGAATATGAAAACCAAAATAGTCTGATGAAAATCACCTTCTGCTCTTCTTGTCCATGGATGATAACGATAAAACTAAACTACGAAAAGATCCAAACACATGAAACAAAATATGTAATAAATAAAGTAACTTTTACTGGACGTTTTTTACATTTTACGCCTTCATACAGGCATAACTCACGAACGGTTGATGCTACAGACTTCAGACTTGAACCATAAGCTTATTCAGATTGCACAACGATAAATTCAAGTGCTCAAGGTTATTCACGGTCAATTCTTTATTTGACCTCTAATTGACATTTAAAGGTGATTTTCAGAAATCGCAAAATTTTTCTGACCCAATAGTGTTAGTGACATGTATATAACTCATACCATTGGAAAAATGGAATGAATTTTTCCTGATCAATTGATTAAGGATTCACCCATATCCTTCAGCCAGTATGAGTTATGAACATGTCACTAACACTATCGGGTCAGAAAAATTTAGCAATTTCTGAAAATCACCTTTCAAGGTCAATTAGAGGTCAAATAAAGAATTGACCTTGAATAACCTTGAGCACTTGAATTTATCGTTGTGCAATCTGGATAAGCTTATGGGTCAAGTCTGAAGTCTGTAGCACTAACCGTTCGTGAGTTATGCCTGCATGAAGGCGTAAAATGAAGAAAAAACGCCCGGTATTCATAAATGAATAATAAACTAAGGAACTTACCTTTTTCAAGTGTTAACACGTTCTCAATGGATCTTGAAGTTGAATCGATTAGAGGCACCAACTTGTTAAAAACACACAAAATATAGAAATGAATATTTCTTATCACATAAACAACATAAAACTAAACGACTTTAAACATTTGAGAAAATCCACAAACAAAAGGTGTTTAAATGACTTAAATTTATTATGATTATGAGGGAGGGAAATTATGGCAAAATGAGAAATTGACATGTAACTGAATTGCTTTATGAAAATTATTAACTTACCTTTTTTAAATATTTAAATTAAACATTTCCTTTTTTTGGAGGCTCTGACTTCAGATCTGGTTCTGGCTGTTCATCACTCTCTGATAGTTCCTCCGAGATTTCCATAATAGGTCCATCCGTGACTTCATCGGGATTAATAGTAAAACCGTGATTAAACTTGCAAATATATGAATAAGATTTTCCACTTATATTGATTTTCGCCATCGTTGTCAATAAATTCTGCGGTTGCAATTGAAATGCCTAAATTTAGTTGCTCCTTGAATTTTCTAAATTCTTTTCTTCTAACTGTACATAATTTTCCAGAAAAAGAAATTGAAATTTTTTAAAAGTGTATGCAGATATTTGCGCTGGTAGAAAAACAATATATGTCTCCTGCAAAACGCGCAAATGTATTATTATATATTAATATATTATATTTTAATGATGATAAATTCATCATTTGTTCCCTGCTTACTTCAAAAGTCATATAATTTGGACCAACACAAAAGAGTTTCTCAATGAAATCTCCGTGTGAAAATTTTATATCATAACAGTTGAGACTTTTCACGATATTTTCTTTTTCATATAACTTAAACTCCTGACATAAAGTATCTTTGGGCCCATAAGAAGTGTAAACTGCAAACAGAAAGGAAATACAAAATTAATGGAAAAGAACAAAAAACAATATAACAATCAAACAGGTTACTCCTTGGTTTGACCTTATCATTCCTCAGTCGATCGGACTCATGTCTTGGCCAAAGGATAACTACTCGCCAGAATTGGAAAGACGTTTGGCAATAACGATGGGTTGATTATCGACAACAGAGCTATCACGATAGTTTAATCAAATTCATGTGTTTCTGCTTATTTTTGAAAACCATATGAAAGCATTTGTTATTGATTCCAATCATTTTGGTAAAATTTGAGGTCGAAATCGGGCTGAAGGATTATCAATTAGCACTTTCTTCTTAACTCTAATCCTTTCCAAAAAACTGTTAAAAGCTTGAGATTGGCGAACTTACAGGGAACCGTCGATGTTGTATATTGTGAAAGTCCCCGGTCAATTTTGCAGTTAAAATTAGTGAGAAAACAATAATTGGATTATTAGCTTAAGCTAAAATTTTACAATTGTTTGCTCTAGTGTCCAAATGAGTCTACTCCGGCTGATTTGACTTTGACTGTTTTGAGCCTTCACTGGAAGCCTGATTAGGACTGAAAACCAGAAGATAGTACTACAAGTAACTACAAGGGGATTTTTGTTATTCAAATGTGTTTTTAGCCTGAAAAATATGAATCCTAAACATGATTACTGTTTCATCCAGCATATGTTATGGATTATCGTTTTGCTGTAGTTTTGAAAAGAACTCGAAAAATAATTGAAACGTTTGCTTTGCGGTTTCACAAAGTTATTTTACGCAATTTATTTGAAAAACATTTTTTAACAATTATTTTTGTTCAAATTTGAATTGTCGACATTTTTGGTCATTTCATCATTAAAACCATCGACATCTTTGTCACTTAAACCATGTGCAGTTTTCATTGTGAGGCAGCACAATAATTTACATTTTGATCAATTTTCGTCTTTATTACAAGTGGATCAGTTGCAAAGAGTAACAGGCTCTTTGATCAGGTCCCTGGTTGAAGTAGAGTTTTTATCAAAACTAATTTCCAAATAATGATTGAATGAATAGAAAGGGATTGAGGGTTAAATTTTGATTCCACTTTGTTTGATATTAAAAGTGCAACGATTTTTGGTTCCAACAAGTTATCCAAGAAAAAGCCATTTTCCTGATTAAAGTTGAGGTTCAGCAAAAGAAAAGGTAAATGTCTTTAAAACCAAAACAAAATAACAATTTTAAACATTTGGTTAAATTAAAAATGACAAATTGATAATTGGATAAATAACGATGATAACAATAATAATGATAACAGTGATAAAGTGTTAAGTATTGAACAGATTTTCAATTTTCTGTAAAAGCAAAAACGAAAAATGAAAAACATTTTTCTCTTTTTTTTAAGAAAAAAAAGTTTGATTCAAAGTCATCAATTTTAATCTACTTTTCACCATGAAACTATTGATGCAATTATCCAGAGATGATTCAGATTGGGCGAAGAAAGAAAAAGTTTAAACTAAAAGGGAAATTAAATTTTCGTTCAATTGTTATTTTTGGCACATTTTCATTGAGAAAAAGAGAAAAAGAAAATTTTGTTCAGAACTTTTTTCTCCCCTCCAAATGAATCAAATTCCCTTCCAACCTAACATTACAAGTTGCTTTCGAGAAACAAATGATGATTAACTATAATCGTTATCATTATCATTATAATCATTATCGGGATGAGCAATAATCGCAATCATCAATAAGCGAAACAAAAAAGTTTAGAAAATTTTTTTTTCGTTTCAACTTTTTTTCTTCACTTTTCACCATCAATTGCCAATAATGGTAACTGACTTGTCAAAGTTGCTTCAATCACATTTTTTTCTGCTTCATGTTTTTTTTCTCGGTTCACATTTTTTCCATGTTTCATGAATTCATTTTTGGTATTTATATGCATGTATATGTAGAAGTGTGATGTATAAAAGGAGAGTAAAGAGATTTTTGGAATTGAATAAAGCTCAATAGTTGAAGAGATGAAGATAATGTTGTCTTGATGATGGTCTAGATGAAGGTTTGAAGCTGGCAAGAAAGAGGTTCATGATGGATTTGATAATAATGATATTTTTATTCAAAAAAAGAGAGAATCCTTCTCTTTCTTTATTTGCCTTTTTTTCATTTCTTTGCATTTTCTGGGAGTTTTTTTTTCTTCTTTTGCTGTTTATTGTTTACTGTTTATTTCTTATCCTTTCATTTATTGTTGATGTTGCTGATGCTTTTGACGTAGTCTTAGTGATTCAGATCTGCCCATTTCGTTGATGTTTTCACCCTGAGAACCGGAAGTTCCACCTAGATTGATAATGATATTTTTGTATACAACTCCAGAGCTTGGACTTGATTCACCGCCTGAGCTTGCTGATTCTTCGATTACGCATGAATTGGTTCCACTGAGTAGGCTTTCCTCACTAGCTCGTACTTTGGCACTTGAAGATGAAACTGAGCTGGGACGTTTTCGTAGGTTACTGGGACTTGATAAGTTTGAACCTAAAAGATATAAAGAGAAAAATCAAGTTAAAAAAGTTCTATCAATAAACATTTGAATTTCGAAAGCAATATTTTTTTAAAAAAAACTTCAGTTTTGAACATGTCTGTCTCTTGGAGCGAGTTTCGAATCGAAAAATTTTTGTGTTTCGTTATTTAGGGTTACATTTTTTTGAAATTTGAATAGAACCAGAATTGCCAGGATTGTTCAGAAAACAGAAAAAATTGCTTTAAGCTAATACTTTTGCTTGACTGTTCTCTGTAATCATTGACATTATCAATTAAAAGTTCTGTAAATTTCAATCTAAATGTTGGCTGAAACAGTCAGAAATAAACACTTCTCTTGATACTTTTCAAGGATGGATAATTGTTAGATTGATTGGATATCAAATTTCATCAGAATCTGAAGAGAATTGAAATGGAAGAAGTAAAAGTGGAACAGCAAAAAAAAGCGATTTTCCCACTCAAATACATTTCCTCTCAGCAAACAAAAGTTTCCTAAAATTCCATTCTCATGTTGCTCTCGATTCTCATTTTTTTTCTCCATCTTGATGATAAATTTGAGTCTAAACATTTGATCAAAAACAACAAATAGGTGAAACATGAAAATGATGAGGAGAAAAAAAAGAGTTTGAAAGCTTTACAAAGTCAAAGTCATCATGACTGTTGCTCCAAGCAATTCAACTCAGCAAAGGATGAAAAAGAAGAAGAAAAGACAAGGCAAAGTTTGAAATGGAAGCCTCTGATTCAACCGGAAACACCTCTTGAAAACTAATCCCTATCATGAAAAGAGAATAAAAAATGTTGCACTTTTACTTTTTTCTCTTTTTCTCCATCACCAGCTTTTCCATGCACAGATTTCAAAGTATCCCATCGGCTATTTACCGTTTCAGAATTGTTTGCTCCATTCAAAAGGATAAAACTCTTTCCTCTCCTAAACCCATATTAACTGCGAGTTTACATATTTTGAATGAGTAAACAAGAAAAACTTTCAATTTATGAATTTATCAAAACAAATGGAACAAGGGAAAAGGATGAAAACGCTTTGACTCACTTGCATCTCTCAATCTACTTGTTATTCATGTAATCCTCTCAAATCATCCTCAAGTAAATTCTGATCTTCTTCTCAACCCAAATCTTCTTTTCATCATAGTTTCAATCAGCCATGATATGCTATCATAAGTTGATGTTAAACTGTTTCACCAAGGACAACAAGGAATGAAGAAGAGAGCAAAAAAAAGAGAAACATTTATTCAATAAGATGATCTGAATACAATGAATTTTCAATTGACTTTCCAAATCACATTGTTATCTATTATTTGTATTTCATCTTCATCATTTTTTATCCTTCATTTCATTTGAATCATGTTATCGGAAAAAGAAGGAGAAAAAGAAGAAATAGTTAAACATTGACAACCATTTTCTTTATTTTCCCTGAAAAGTAATTTTTCATGTTCAAATATTGAACACTTTGACTTGTTCATATGTAAAAAAGATGAGATTCAAAGTCAATTAATTTTCATTTCCTTAAATCGTTTCAAAGATATTCAGAAAAATGATGAATTTCAATTTGAAAATTTTGTTGAAACAAAAAATCTTTCCATGAATTTTTATTCTTTAAATAATGAAGTGGAAAAAAAGTTAATTGAATGTTATTGAAAAAGTGCAGAAAAGTTGAATTTTGTGCTTCAACTTGACACTCTTGAGTTTTAATGAAGTTTACCATGTTGATCCAAGGTTGAAACAAAAATGAAAACTTTGAAAACTGTCTCAAACTTGACTGAACGATTCATAAATGATGAAAGATGAAAATGTTTCAACTTTCGATTTTGGTTGTTAATCGAATTTTCAAATTTCATTTCGATTTGAAACTTTTTCAACTTCATTGTTTTTCTCATGTCGTGCAATGAATGATTAAATCTGTGAAACGAAAATGATTTGAAATGTCGAAAAATTGTTTTTCGTTTTTCAACTTTTCTTTTCACTGTTGAAAGGTTTCCATCAATTTTCATGTTAACCATTAACAAACAAACTCACAATAAACATTAATTATAACAATGATGATAACTGAGGAAAGTATTTTCAGTCAAATTGAGAGGTTAAGTTAAATATTAACTTTCACTTGGTTAATTATGATCTCATTTTGGATGAAACAAAAAGTGACACAACAATGATGATGGTTATGAGGAGGAGGGAAGAAGATGAAGGAATAATAAGAAAAGTTCAAGTTAATAGAAGATGTAATAATAAAGATGAGGAAGAAGAAGAGAAAAGAGAAAAGAGTGAAAATGATTAAGACAAATGATGAAAAGGATGTACTTATTTTTGTACTTGTTCCGTTTACATCACATCATGATGATGGGGATGATGATGGTAAAGGAAGATGGAGATGAAGGAAAAGAGCGAGCAAATGTATTATATGTTTTGACAGAAACAGAAAAGTTGTGAAGAAGTGAATAAGACTCAAGTCCAGGTTTACATTATTAACTATAACCTAATGAAAATCAGGTCTAATCAAAGGGAACAAAAATTGAAGAGAAGAAATGATTGAGATTGAGATTGTTAATAATGATTGAGTTGATGAGAGATGAGAGATGAGGAACGATGAGAGCATCATCAAGATGGTTAAGGGTGAAACATGAGGAATCCATGATAATGTTAATGATACTTGTGTTTGCATTTGGTTACTTTGTGCTTTTACTTTCATCTTGTTAGTCAATCTTAATCAATATTCAATATTTACCTTTGCTATTTAATCTAAGTGTGGTCAACTGTTGACGACCATCTTGAAGTACATTGGACAATTGATTTGTGAGGACAGCATAATTAGTTGACCATTGTTGGCTTTGATTCTGTTGTTGTTGTTGCTGTTGTTGTTGATGGTAAAGGTGATGAGGATGATAGATTGAACTTGCACCTAAACTGTTTACTCCATTAAGACTGGAATCCTTTTCAGTCGACCAAAGAGTCTGCTGTGGTTGATGCACAGGCTGAGGTTGATCACCTCGGTAACCTAGAGGTGCGACTGAACTGGTTTGCTTCATCAACCGATGGAACCCATTGGCTGATCTACTGTCATCACATTCATCAAGGCTGGTCATCAACACAATCTCTCCGTTGGTAGTGGTCGACCTTGCACCACTTGGTCCTCCACTTGTGCTTGTATTGCCACTTGTACCATTGGCACCGTTACGTGGTATCCGATGGCGCAAGGCTGGAAACCAAGTCTCGAGTAGATCGTACGATGTTTGAGCAGAATTTTCCACCAAAACTCGACGAGATTCCCGTTTAGCCGATTCTACAAACTCGGTGAAACCTGGAATTTTATTGACATCATCACCATACGCATGTTTCAGCATCTGAACCAGCCTCATTTTACCCGAATTTTCGCCCTCTTCTGGTATATCCATTCCACTTGAGGAACTTTGTCGAGGTGGAGGTCGACCTGGAACTGTTTGCAAAATGACAGAGAGAGAGAGAAAAAAAATGATTCCATAATTGAAGTAAATGGTTGAGATTTTTTTAATGACTGTTAATAGCAACATAACTATGCATGGATAAGTGGGAAAAAAACAAATTCATCATGAAAAGTAAAATGAAAAGGAAGACAAAAAAGGTAAGGAAAAGGTGAAATGCACTGAAAATCAACATGAATCGTTATTAATAATAAAAGTATTCTAATTAGAGGAATGAATAGGAAATGATAAAATAGACTGAGAATATTGTGTATTATTATCTAGTTAGTTGTGCTGCTCTTGAGAATTGGGTAAAGAAAGGAAAAGATGAAGATGGAGAAAAAAAGAAAAATTGGTTGATAAAAGAGTTGTTTGGAGTAAAAGTTGCTAACAGAATGTTAAACAGAGTCAGAGTATTAACAGATTAATCAGACTTTGATATTATTAATGTTCATTTGGGCATAAGTGTAGAACCTGAGAAGAAAATGAAAAGAAAAGGAAGAGAGAAGAAAAAAAACTCATTTCTCCATTTGTCAACTGATCCAAATTATTTCAAAACAATCAAGGTAATGCAGTTGAGAATTCAATCTGAGAAGAGAATTATTCCGAAAAAAAATTGATCAACTGTTGAATGTGATGAATTTCAATCTAGCCTTACAAGATTATCAAAAGCAAAGTTCTGGCAACTTGGATTGGCAAATGCTTTTCAATTTTGCCAAAGTTCATTTTATGAATTTTCATTCATAATTTTGTCAATAAGTAAATTGAACGAAGCAATAAAAGTTGAATGAATGCTGGCAATAAATTGATAAAACATATTCTCGTGAAAATTATCAATCAACTGGAAATTGAAAGCTATTTGTAAAATTATGTGAAAATGGAAGAAAAGAAAATTCCAAGCTTATTATTGTCCATGGAAATTGATTTTTTCATAATTGTTTTTTACTCGAAAAATGCATTAAATGAGAAAAGTTTTGGGTTCATGTTTTTCAAATTAATCAAAGAAGAGGGAAAATGTGGAAAGAAATGAAATTGTTTTAGGCTTTGCTTTCGCATATTTACCTCGTCTATTGGTTTGACGATCCAACGCTTCTGCTGCTCTTACAGCACGAATCTTTTGCTGTACATTGGCTGCTATCTTATCTTGCTTGCTTATACGAAATCTTTCAAAAATATTGAAACTTGAACGCCTCTTCTCGGGCTTGGTATTGAGTAATGATGAGGTTGATTTATCTGTTAATAGGGTTCCAGGCTGCTGATGACTTTTTGATGGTTCAGAAGATGAACTTTCCTTTTTTAAATGTTGATTATAATGATGTTTCACTTCCAGGGAATGATTTCTGTTGAAAAAAAGAAATCAAATTAAATTATCGAAAAAAATTATCCAAAAGCTTCCAAATTCTGGCAAAGTTTCAAGCTTATTTCTGAAATGCTTTTCAACCCGAACGAAAAGTTGAACGATATAAAATTTCCTAAAAAATCGAGCTTCGAAATTTCTTCATTCAAACAGAAACAAATCTTTTATTTTCGAATCGAAATGATTTTTTCTAATTTCGATTCACTTTTGTAGACCAATGTAGACATGAAATTTATTCATGGAGAATTTCATTTTTTTCTGTTCTTTTTTCTGATGCTTATAAACTGGCCATTTCATGGTCAGTGATTGAAGCTTTGGTTTTACGGATAATTGATTGATTGTCAGAATCTTTTTTTTCTCATTTCGGTTAATTGAATAAAAGTGAAATTATGAATGTGGAAATGTTGACTTTGAAATTCATTGGTGAATGAAAAAGAGGAAAACGATGAGAACATGATTCATGACTTGTTTATGAAATTTGATTGATTCAATGAGAAGTGAAATGCGAAGAAAATGAGCCAAAAAATCGATTTACGTTGCAAATGTGACTCTTTCAATTGCAACATTGGTAATCATAATGAGAATGATGATGAAAAGTAATTGATGTTATCCATCATGGAAAAGTTGGTGGCAAGCGAATCAGTTATATCATTCCCTGTGAATACAAAAGCAAGGCCAAAAATGTTTACCTCACCATTCAACTGAGAATCTGGTGCAACTAATAGAAACGCAATATTTATTGTTTTTTCACATATTTACACATTATTTGAATGTGATGAAAATTTTCATCCACAAACATTCCAATTCTCAATCAATCAAAATGAAAATCAATTATCGATTTATTTCCATTCCAATCATTTGAAAAGAGAATAGTTGAGCGAGAGAAAAAAAATTCACTCCTTTACTTGAATTTAGTTTAGCATTCAATTTCATTTTCTCGTTGTGATGCAAAATATTTTTTCATTTCACGCAAAATTCATTCTTGCACACTTGAATGCAATCAAGTAAACACAGAATTTCGTTTGAATCAAATTCATTTCTATTCAATTCCTTTCTTTATTCAACGTTTTTCTCCTTTCTGATAAATTCTTTCATGCTAATGGATAAACGAACAAATAATTAACCAATCGACAATATTTCAATTGGCATTAATCGAAACTCAAGTTTCAGGCAAAATCTCAATTCAGTCGAAACCAGCAAATTCCATAATCACCTGAGAATTTTCAATTCCAATCTTTGAAGAAATTCCAAACTCGATGCTAATCAAATTATCAAATGTTGACTAATCGACACATTTACATTTTCAATCAATCGAAATTTAATTTCCAAGTTCAATCTTGAATTGAATAAAAACGAGAAATTCTCTAAAGAATAATAATAATCTTCAATTTGGAATTTCAGAAAAATGAAGTTTCCTCTGCACAAAGAAGCTTCAATAATCATGGAACAAAAAGATTTTGAAATTTCGATTTAAAGTTCATTGATTCATCTAATAATATTCGTTAATATCGAGTAAACCCTGATGACATCCCAGTCACTCCCAGTAGCATAGTCACTCCCAATCTTAATGAACAAGTTGAACTTCAAGTTAGCGTGAGTTTGGTGAATCAGTCTTGGTTTGTTGATGAAATTCCGAAATGACATTATTTTGTTGGACTTAGAAAAAGTCTAACAAAAGTGATTGAGACGGATGATGGAAACAATTGGAAAGATTGTATTTGATGATTTAACGCCATTCATGAGAGTTTCATGAGGCAAACAGTAAAGTGGTAACTAATCAATGTTTTGGCTTCCAATAAAACACTTCCTTTGTGAAGACGAATAGTATAAAGTAAAGGGAGTAAAAATGATTCCCAGTAAGTATAACGATAATGACAATAATAGGCAAACATAAAAAAGGACAAGACAAGACTTCCTGTGATTATCCACTTTTTTATTGATCATTATCATCCATGTTTCACATTTACTTTCACCAGCCAATCACTTGTGTTCAATATCGCTTAGACTCCAAAAAGGAATCCAAAAATTGGAGATAATTTTTTGTTCTCCTTCGCTCATTACATTTACTCATTTGCAACCTTTGAATCAAATGTAGATTAGGTAATCAAATGAAATGGCTAATGAACAAGACGCTAAAAGGGCAAAAATGTGAATGATGATGATTGTGATAAGTTCAACTCCCAGTTATTTGTTGATATTTTTTGCTCGTCTCTGGATTTTCCGCTGATTCATATTCTGCCAATTCATTTTCTAATCTAATTTATTTCATTTCCTCAGCAACACTATTTGGTAAACATTAACATTGAAAAGGGGAAAAGAAACTAATACTCAATTGAACGCCTTCTTGTTATCATTATTATCATGTTATTTCATCCCTTTTGTCAAACTCCAAGCTTCTTGATGTTTAACAATCAACGGAAATTCATTCTTAAATCACTCTTGCCTTCAATTTTTATTGCAGATCACAATTTATCTATCATTTTTCACATTCAACGTCTATTCTGCATCATTATCATCATCATCATCATTTTACTCGACAACCTTGATTGATGACTCGGAGGTTCACTAGTTAGAGCTACATTTCATATCTATCATGATGAGAATAATGAAAGCAAGAATCATATCAACACAGCAAAAGGACAAGTTGCGCTGAGGCAAGCAATAAAAGGCTGAGTAAAAGGCCAAAGGAAGGTTTTCTAACAATTTGTCAATGGGTTTCCAATTTTCAACTTTCAGCTGAGATGGTAAGGGTTCGATGGTTCATTTTGTATGCCAAATGAATCGATTACTTAACGACGTTGCCATGCTCAAGACGAATAAATACTCTCCATCGAAATCAATGGCATAAACATGTTCCAATCAGTGTTTCTCCAATAAGCAAACGAAATTGTTTTGTCCCAAAACTGATGAAATAATCGATTTGAAAACCGATTTTGAATAATCTAAAAATTACCGAAACTCATTGAATAAAGTCATTGAAATTGGTAAAGTCAAAACAAAAATGAAATAACTAAAAGTCAAAATATAAGAAAATACTGAAAATCAAAATTGATTGATTAAAATTGAACAGACATTTCAAAAGGAATAATGATGAAAAATTTTCAAAATTTTCTTCTTTCGAGAGGTATTTCGATGAAAATTCATCACATCAATTATAATCTTAGATTCGATTCAACCACAGAAACACTATTCCAAGAAATTTAAAACCATGTCCAATTTTCTCTTCAATTTCGAGGAGCATTCGTTTCCTTTTTCTCAAAAAATTTATCGTCGGTCAAACAGTTGCTCTGTAGTCGAAATTTGCATTATTTTTTTCTCCAATCCTGTTTCTTTGATTTTATTTCACTGAAAATCCTTAGAATGATGGGCTGAAAAACTCTAGAAACTATTTGCTAGAAGATTTAATTTTCAAAAAAACCTTTGAAATAATTTTTCGAATATTGAAGATGAAAATTGAATCGTTTAAAAGCTCAATTAGATTTGGATTAACGAAAAGTATAAAAGTTGCAAGACTGAAATTTCATCTGATTGAATAAATTTGGTAAAGAAAATGTTTCAACCTTTTGCTCTTTTCTTTTAAACCTTTTGTCCATTGGATGCTCCATCAATAGAAAGGAAGAAAATATGATCAACGATAAAATTGGGTCATTCTTTTGTTCCATTATTATTATAACTTCTGTTGTTGTTTCAAGTTATCATATCAAGTTATCTGACAATTTATCAATGTTCAAATAAAAGCAATAAAGAAATGCAAGAAGATGAGCATTTTCATCTCAATCACTATTATCATTATATCTGTACCTAGTAGAGGTTTAATTTGCCTCCCACAACATGATGACATTTCATGAGAGTTTAACTTTATTTCGAGTTTCTCCATCCATGTTTCAGTTCAATATATTGAACATGGAAGGGAACAATTTTTTCCTCTTTTTTCCATCTTCTCTCGTTACTCTTTTGAAAGATGAAAAAAAAACAAATTATTCGTATCATTCAACGTTACTTGATTATTTCATTTTACTTCATCAGTTAACCAAATAATGTTTTGAAAACACAAGTAAAAAGAAAACTCGAATCAATCAGAAGAAACGAAATGAAATTATTTTTCCAACTTTTCTGGGTAAAGACAAATTCATTTCATCCCTGACATGATAATGAACATTCAACTTAATCTAACTACTCAAATGTGATGCTCAAATGTATTCATTTGTGTTCAACATCACAAACATGTTACACTCTTTTGACAGTCATGAAGATATCATTTGGATTTTTCCACTTCTTTCCTTTTCTTTTTACCATGAATTGTGAAAAATTGACTTTGCATTATGTTGCAGGATCAAATGCTTAATCTCTAGAGTTTCAAGTAATTTTCGCCATCTATTTGCTAAGCACTTGAGATGCTCAAATGAATTGAAATAAATGAAACCAGAAAAAAAATATTCTTCGACTTTCTCGAAATTCGTCGAGATTCATTTTCTTGATGAAAAAGCTTCAACTTTCCTTTGGATTTTGATTGATCTTCAAATTTCGTGCAACTTGTAATGAACTAATTGAGCTTGACAATTTGGAAGCATTTGTAGTTGAAGGAAAAGTTACTTGCCTTGGAGAGTCGACTGAAAATTCTGAGGTTGAATGTGAGGAATGGCGAGAGATGCCGAGTGTCGGTACATAGCCAATGTGACAACGTACATTCTTGGCAGTCGTGAAAAAGGAGCGATTATTTTTCTCTGGTTTGAAAAGGATTATGTAAAGTTTGGGGAAAAAGAGGAGAACCAAAGCAACCAGTGCGCTGAAGGAGATGCAGAGACACATGGTGAGTACCTTTAGGTCGGAGCCAAAGTAGATGGGAACAAAGGCGATCCAGATGACAAGGGTTGTGTACATGGTGAACCCGATGAATTTGGCTTCGTTAAAGTTTTCTGGAACATTGCGAGTTTTGATGGCGTAAACGGTACACATTGCAATGAGAAAAAAGTCAAAACCTAAAGGGGCAATGATTCCAGCTGAGGTTGTATTGCACACTAAAATAACTTTATCCAATACGGGATAATCCAACTTGGAATCGGCTGGTTCTTTGAAGAGCATGAAACCAATTATACCCGTCTCAATGAGTATCAAAATAATAGATATAACAACTTGAGCTGAAGAGGACATGAAACGAGGTTTCTTGGTTATTATGCGTTTCTTGGAGCCCGCTAAAATGCGAGCAATTCTGTTAGTCTTGGTTACCAGGGAAGCGTAGATAACGGCAAAACTAAAGCCAGGTAATACTCGGGTTACAAAACAAGTTTCCTGGGTTGGCATTGCGATAAGGGCAAAGGTTGTTATATAACAAAGATACATTCCCAATAAAATCATGTAAGAAAGCTCACGGGTCGAAGCTTTAACAACTGGCGTGTTGTTATGCTTGATAAACACAACCATAGTGAAAAATGTTAACATAATACCAAATAGAGCGATAGCTATGGCGACTAACGATGGTGTCTCAGTCCACTGAATATATTCAATTTCGATTTGGAAGCAGCCTGAAAAGAAAATGGAAAAAAAGAAAAGAGTTAAAATTTTTACTTCAATTTCCCAAATCATTTTCGGTTCGAAGCTCGAAAATTTTCGTAATCTTCTGATTCTACTCTGAGTTTTCTCAATTGATCTTTTTTGCTAACGAATGCATCAAATAATGTCAGTTGATCGAATCATCAAATCTGATCATTACGAGAATCAACTCCAGTTTCTAGTTATTTCAGATTAGAGATTTATTTTATCGATCCGTTTCCCGATCAGAGATTATCCATCGTTAATTTTACGATTCAATTGAGTAAACATTTTGAACTCATTTTCCTTTCTAATGATAACTCGATAACTTTGGGTTTTGGAGATCAAAATATTTTTTCCAAATGCAGAAATTCGAAAATATTCAAATTATTAGTGAAGTTTCAGAAAAAAAAGTTGAAATAAAAGCTGAGGTTCTAAGGTTTTAAAATATTCTGATCTGTTTTCTAACAGAAACTTTGACGGTGGGGAAATGCTTGAAAAGTTTGTTTAAAGAAATTGATATTCGCGTGAAATGGATTGGAAATCAGCATTAAATAATCGATAACAGCAATCAGTGTCACCATCATTAGTCAAATAAATTCGGTGAATTTGTTAATGAATGTTGAAATGCTGTGCTTAACGACTGCTCATTTTGAGAGTTAAATTATAAGCTGATTGATGAACCAAGTTGATCTGTAAACTGATGAGCTTCGGAAATTACTGTTGATGAGGAAAGGTTTTGCACAAGTTTTAACCTTTTGCCAATTCCACACTATTTACTTAGATTGTTGTTACTTTTTTAATGCAACTTTTATTATTCAACTCCAACACTGGGAGTGAATTTTTATTATTTTATCTCTTCTTCCATAACTATTATATTTCATATATTATTAATACTTTGACTCTTTATTTTGTTTTTAATGTTCCAACTATTATCACATTTATACAGAATGCTTCAAGAATTGAAAATGTTCAACTTTCAACTAAACACGTTCAACTGCTCAACATCTCATCATAATTATCACTACTTTTATCGTGTTCAGAACAGTTGCAAACTTCCGTTAAAAGTTGAACAACTTGGAGCAATTAAAGTTTAAACTTCAATCATTTTTCAACTTTTAATTGATATTTAGTTCGAGTTTTTTCTTCTTCTTTTTTCTCAGAAAATTGTAGCAAAGTTTCAACAATTAAAGTTGCAATTTTCACTTTCAATTGTTGCCTTTAATGAGCAAAACTCTGCCATTCATCATGTTGATGTGAAAGTGCATGAAAAGTGAATAAAGAAAAGAAAAACTTTTGTCAAAGTAAACATTTGTTTTGATTCGAGTTTCATTTTTAAGGAAATGGAAAGAAAAAGCAAATTCTCGATTCATTATTGTCGCTGATTATCTGAAGTCGAACAAAGTGAAAAAAAGTAAAAGAAGAAAAAACCTTTTTTTCTCTTCATTGATTGCAATTTTGGTTTCTCTCATTATTCCAGTTGTAATAATGACACAAAAGGAACCACTTTTGATTGAATTTTCACCAAAAAAGTAGAATTGAATGGAAATAAAGAGAAGCAAAAAATGAAAATCGAAGACAAAAAAAGTTGAAACTCATGATTTGTTATTAAATAAACAAGCTGAGCCCCCGATCATGGCTGATCGTAAATTTCTTTTCACTGAATACAATAAATTCAATCCACATTTAAAGACTCGAACTGTTGATGAAAAATCATTGTCAAAGAGAAAAACTAAAGAATTTTCGTTGATTTTGAGAGTTGTACAGTTACACAGTTACAGAGCACCAGATATTTAACTTACTCTTTGCTCGAAAGACAGTTTTACATAAACTCCTAGCCCAACAATAAACCATCAATCTGAATGAAAAAAAGTTTTTCCCCCAAAGTCAATAGTAAAAGATACGGATTCTGCATTTTTTCCCCTACCCTGTTTAAACGCTGATTTCTCAGTAACCTGAATTCCGAGAAAGCTCTGACTATTTTTCGTAATTGAAGTTCAATCAGGGCTTTCATTCGATGTGAAAATTTTCTTTAGAATCCTTTTAGTTTGGTCACAATCTTCCCGCAAAAATTTCATAGTTTGACTTTATATATTGTATAGATGAACAAGAAATAACTTTATCTATTCACTTCTGCTAATGCAGTTTGAAATGAAATAACCAAAACAAGATGGTTTATCATGAAATAATATACTTTACTGCTCATTATTGGTTGACAAAGAAATGTGGCCAACAATAGCGAAGGTAAAGTTTTGGATAAAATTCAATCAAGAATCAGTAAAATACATGAAATGCAAGAGAAATCAATTGAGAAAACTTTTCTCTTTTTCCTGTCAATTATTTTCATTTTCAGTGTTTCCAAAATTTACAAAAATGCACCAAATAAAAGTGAGGAGAAAATAATGAAAAGATAAAAGGAAAAGAGAGAAAAGTTTCAGTCTTTTGCTTCTCCAGTAACTGAACAAGAACTTGAAATATATCATCCATTTTACCACCAAACAGTTGTACAACTTTTCTTTGAATTTAATTTGATAAGTGATAAAGTTTCTTCTCCAGTTGATGGTTCAATAAATTATGAGATACGAATGCATTTCGCTGTCGAATAACTTTAACCAGAATTCAATGTTTTACTTTTGCAGCCAGAAACATTCACAAGTATCGAATTATCGACAACGAATTCCATCAAAACATTAGCTTCTACAAAATATTGAGCCTTTCGAAAAATCTTTCATCTGAAGGATTCTTTTAGATTTTACTATCGATATTGCAGTGACTGGGCATCCAGATCATGGAAACTGTTTCGTTCGAATTTTGTTTAACGAAAGTCTCTTCGCAATTCGTAGGTTCTAAAGGCACCGGACTTTTGATTCTCTTTGTCTTTCTCTGATCTCTCTGCATTGAGTTGACGAAGAAAATTTTTGGTTAAAATCTTCTTCAATCAACTTTTGATTAACTCGGTTTTGACAGTTTCACAGAGTTTTATAATGCTACTTTTGTGTGAGACTCAGGTGTGAAATTTGGATTCAATGGCTTTGGAAGTTACGAAGCATGAACGATTGTTGATTTCAATCAATCAATCAGATGCAATTGAGACATTTGCTGATCATTTTAAAAGCATCTCAGGTATGCAGAAGCACAGTTTGAAGCACAATGAGACTAACGAACCAACTGACAATTGCAATTTTCCTTTTTTTCGTGGTTCTTTTAAATTTTATTTCACTTTTACTCGTCAAAATGTATTTTAATACTTTGAATGTTGTTCCTTTACACTGAACCATTTCACTTTATTACTGTAATCAATATTTGTATGCACAAACGAACACAGATTATTAGAGTAAACATCATTAGTAGCGATGATTACATTGAATGTTTTGTTGATTTTGCCATTTTTTTGTATCCTCTTAGTTAATGAGCTCGTAATAATATTTAGCTTGTTGTGTTGAACAAGAAAAACAAAAATTAATAAACAAAAATGAACAAAAGAAGAGGAAAATGATCAATAAAATGAAACTTTTATATCGAGCAAAAGGTTAGTGGCCAGTCAGCCATTATGCACAAGTGACTATGTATTTAATTAGAAGTGCATTTATATTGTCCAATGCAATACTCAACATTAACCATTAAAGACATATTTAACCCAGAATCGCGGTCAAACAAGATTGATCAATAAAAGAGAGAAAAGCAATTCTCTTGAACATTAACCATTTCATATCTCGATATTAACATAATAGGCCAAAGAAAAGGATCTTGCTGAGGATTGGGTGCCAACTCATAGTGAGATGAATTTCCCAAGAAAATTGAACAACATTGAAAGGAAGTTTTAAAAGCAACGAAAAAGTAATGGAAGAAGGAAAAAAGGAAAAATTGGATTCCAGCAAAGATGAAAAATGAAAGTAAAAAAGTTGAGCAAATGTTGAACCATTTGTTTCTGTTTGACTTGCCATTTACATTTCATAATGTCCATCAACAGCGTATAAAAATGAGATGAAAATTGACTGGATTGGTTGGGAAGGAAAGCAAAAGTGGAGAAAACAAAGTTTCTCTGGAAAATCTTTTTATCTCTCATTTTTAGAGTTCAACTGGATTGGTTACCTGAAACAGATTCCTTCACTTTCAATTATACTGAAATGAGGTTGACAGTGAAATTGGAGTCGAAAGAGTAGAAATAACAAAAGAAGAAATGAAATCACAAAAATTGGACACTGACCAATCATGGAAAATGCAATACAAATTTCAATATTTGGGTTAAAACGAAAACATTTTCTTCTCTTCTCTTTTCTGCTTTTAATTTCTTTTCTTCAGAATTAGCTGAATAGGAAATGTCTAAATAACTTTTTGACAGCAAAAATGGTTGGTATTTACATTTCATTGTATCGTGTGTTTACCAGTCCATTTGTGTTTTTATCAACTCGATACTCGAATTTGATTTTTTATCGACTTTTTGAAGTTTATCAGTTCGAATTTGACGTTTCTGCATTCCTCTGTATTCTTTATGAAAAGAATTTTCTCTTTCCATTTGTAATGATTGCTGTTATCGTTTCCTTGGGCAATGTTGAGGATAATATTGCCTTTTAACAATCTTGTAAGCTTATTAGTTTTCATCAGTTACATGAGATTAACTTTTAACAGAGAGACAGTTTCATGTTGTTCAATTGAGTTTAAATGGAACGCTTCGTAAGCTCATCAATCTAATTGCAGCTTTACATCATGTAAATGCACACATTTGCTTCTCTCTTTATCCGTGTGTTCATTTTATCCTGAAGATAACATGAAAAATTGTTGAATCTTTTTATTTCTTCAGGTTGGTAAAAAAAGTTAACTTGACGTTGAACAAATATTAAGTGATCAAAATCCAGATTTTTGTTCTCCCTCTTAGCCTCAACATGGAATCTTGTAAAACTTTACATTTATATGGAAACTTGATTAACCTTTAAAAGAAGATGAAAAGAGTAAAAGCTGACTTTCTTCGAATCAAGATTAATCTCAGCAACTG